GCGCAAGATTGCTCTCGCAGTGGGATAACAGGAGTGCTATGAATTAGGACAGAAATGCATTCATAGAGTTCAGTGAGGAGGGGCTCCGGAGAGGAACAGTAGGTATTGCAGGTCACGGCTGAAGTGCATTGGCAAAAGCTGTGTGGAGGGGGCCCTGGGATGGAACGGCAGTGGTTGTTACACATGAAGGCTGAGGCCCATTGGCAGAGCTGTAGGTGTGTGGGCAGGCTCAGCACCTGGCAGCATTATAGCTGGCTCTGCTGAGTGGTATTCGTTCTCGAGCACTAGCTCTACCCACAAAATATTTAGAAAAACAGTAGGAAACCATGCTTGCATACAGGCTATAATGACTAACTCTCTGCATCCTTCTTATCCTTGGTCTCAAATCCTGTGAATCAGCTCAGCAGCCCAAATCGGACTTCTTAAAGCTGGAAGGTATTTGCATAGCATGCTCACTCTCACTCTTCTAAGTCAAGCGTCAGTACATCTATGACATTTATTTTCCGGAGCGGTAGCTCTGGTTTACCAGTTAATGAAAGATACAGCATGAAGAACAAGGGCAGCAGGCGAGGGAAGGGAATAGGAAAGAAAAACGAAGGGAATGGGCAACCTGACTGAAACATCCCATGTCTTGAAAAGCTGATTTTGAGGTGTCTTGTCAAAGCAATACCTGTGTTTATTGTGATTATTATATCACATGGGCTTGGAGTGGTTTTCTGGTATTTTGCAAGGACCACCCAGAAGCAGGGCAGGTTTGGCTATTGGATTTACAAACTTGAACAAGAAACACGCAGCTCCTGCCTGCTAGTCAAAAATAATATCGCAAGGGAAGCAAACCACAGCGAGACCACAGGGACTTGAAGCCCATTTTCCACTTGCATTGGGAACTACCCTAGCATGCTGCAGAATGATGTCTCCATATGCTGGGAATGGTTCCCAAAAGCACTCCATCCTTGCCGACTCACTCTTCCCTCAGCCTTCTTTCCGATCCAGTGGGATCCAGGGTAAGGAAGTGGCTCTGAACAGGATGCCCTTGGGTGTTTTCACCGTGCAGTGAAGTGGAGAGAACAGTCTGCAACCAAAAACACAAAAACGGTGTTGGACTAGAACAGAGGAACCCTGTCTCTACCTTCCAGGCTTCTTAAATCATGGCCTCTGGACCACCCATTGCCTGAAGACGGCTTCTTGTAGCTCTGCACACTTAACCTTTGGTGTCGGCACATATGTGAGAGACAACGCTACTCCTAAGCCAGCTGGTCCCTCTAATCAGCTTTCTGTCTGCTTTGTCCCTAGCCAACCCTATGGGAGAGGGAGCAGCTCTGGTCCTAGCAGCTGGGGAGAGCCAAAATAAGCTGACTTTGATGGAGAGAGAGAGTCTAGAACATACTCTAAGTAGCTGTAGGCCTCATGGCCAGAGAGAGGAGAAAGAGACAATAGAGCTGGAAATTTAGCAGGGAGGTTGGAAGCCAAGAGGCTTTCTCTCCAAGTGGTTTACAGGAAGAAATGCAAATAGAGCCATATGCAGCCATGGGGATACATGGAACAATTTACTTTAGAAAGAGAGATATCCCGTAGCAGACCTTGGAAAACTAAGGTCCTCATTCTCTGCTGCTGGGCCCCTGGCACAGTCATTTACACCAGCACGGAGATGTCTTCTGCTTAGACAGTCAGGTCAATGTGTCAGCCCAAGGTGGCATTGAGCAAACAGCTACCCAGGTTTGAAACAGAGTAAAGAAGAAGACACCTGGGTGTAACTTATACTGGTATATATCCTTGCTTTCTGATAACTTTACCCTGGAGACTTATACTGGAGGAGGAAGGGCTGTGCATAGCACTTCTGCTCTGCTTTTCCCCCTATTTTTCTTGTAACTCTCCTGCAGCAGCAGGGCAACTCAAAGCTACATGACAATCGCTGCACCTAAGTTTAAAGTGCAACTTAGGTGCAGCCTAAAACTGCACCTAAGGTGCACTTAGGGAAGTGCAAGGAAGTGCAGTGCACTTAGGGAAGTGCAGTGAAGAATTGTGCCCCTAACTCTGCATACATTTGACCAAGCCAGTCAGCACTTAACAGGCTAACAGGAAAAGCTCCTTCATATAACCTTTTACCTTCCAAATGTTTGTTGATCTTTTTCTTTCTAGGCATGATTTTTGTTTGGGAACATGCTTACACATTCACATGCATTTATTACACAGACATCATGTTTGGGTCCATCATCAATCAGAGGAAATGTGTAAAATCTCCATACCCAGAGAAGTAGTGCTTATGGTATGTGGCAGCCTTCTTGCCAAATCTCTGCAGCTGGAGATTTTAAACAAAACTAATTTATGAATAGAGACGTGAGCAAAGAAATCTGCAATAGCACAATATAACTCATGAGGATCCTGAGAGTTTAAGCAGTCTCTTGGAGAGCTCATACAATGGTGTGGAGCAGAAAGGACCAGGCTGCTTTATGAAGAGGATGCTAAGCTGAGATTGTTTCGGGGTTTGCTGGGTCAAAGCCAACTCTGGTCAATAATGACCAAAAATTGTTCTCTGATGGACCTTTGGTTGCCTCTGAAAAATGGGTTTTTGGTCTTTGTTCAGTTCCTGTAGCGTAGGCTTCCAAATCTCCGTGGCTGTGGTTGCTACTGTCACTGCTGCTGCTGATTGCCACACTCATTTCAGCAGAAAGGTGTAATTAGATGACTGAACATCCCACAAAGCCCCAAATCCTATTATGCATTCTTAGAGGTTTCTGAATGGGGCAGGTCTTTAGACACCGTGGTGGTGATGGCAGGTTTGGGCCAGCTTTTATCTGCTTGTTAGATAAGAGAGATGTAAGTCTTTCCTGAGCTTGTCATTTGCTTCTTTTACTTGCACTACCCTAGGGACATCCATGTGGTTTGGGGGTTTTAGTCTTGCTGCAGCCTCCCTTTGTCAGAATACAAAACTCTTTAAAAACGAATAGCCAATGCCCCTCCAAGGAGATTAATTTTGACGAGACAGAAGAGCCCATGTGTTCCAGTTCTGAAAGACTGGTAATCTGACAGGGTGGAAGCTGTGCCAGGTGAGCATCACATAGGGGAGATAAATGACTACCTAGTGGAATGCTATCTGCTGTGGGAGCAATTTATATCTTCATAAAGAATAATACAGCTGTGTGACTGAGAAACATGTAAGATCACAAAAGAGGAGTGTGAAATTACAGCGGTGTAGCAGTTCATGGTTTCATTCTTGGTTAAATGCTAGTTCCCTATTTGTTTGTAGAAGGTGAGTTACACTGGGTCGCATGTTGAGAAAAAAAATTTGTAAATCTATGTAAAATGCCAAATGTTCTCTGATCTGCAGTTACTGCAAATGCATATGCAAGATGGGAAACTACATAAGCATATAGCTGATTGATTGCCCAGTTTGCTCATCAGTATTCTATTTGCCTATGAAATTGCAGCTGCTCTGTGTCCCCCTCAGCTGCAAGCAGTTGCACAGTTATATTGGCCACTCTGTTTTGAAATGGTTATGTATAGCTTTGCATCACTTTTTAAAAATGAATGATGTTTTATGAAAGAAGAAACATTGGTCCCTAAATTTCAATGTGAGCTAACAGCAATATAACATACCAGTGGTGAAGATTACTCAACAGTATCCAAGAACATTACGCTCCCCTGAAAAGATGGCTATTACTTCTGTCTAGCCCTTTAACCAGAGTGAAGGTCTCAGAACACACACACACACACACACACACACATATATATATATGTCTTCTCAGAACTTTATTGATATACTTAGTTTTAGGGACAAGTTGATAACAGTTTAAAAGGTATAGACTGTTTGAATGCAATTGAGACCTGGGCTGCCCAGTAAACCTGAAACATGCCTTTGGAACAGCTTGAGTAAGGATTTCAGAATTTCCTGAACACTGGGCATGTCTACAGGTTCATTAATGTGCTGTAATTATGGCTTATTAAGTTTAGTACCTGTAGTAACAGGTACTTAATGCACCACAATTGGTGCTACTGCACATTAACACAGGTGAATGCTTTTTAAGTGACAATGCCCATCAGATTAAAGATACTGAGCACTAGTGTAGATGAATGCTTTTTGGGTGACGCTTAATGCCCATTGGACGAATGTACTGGGCATTAGCGCATTAGCACAGTTTTTGCCAGCTGTGCTAATGCGCTATAGAATTAGTCCAATGGGCATTAAGTGACTTGTGTAGATGCACCCAGTGGGATGCATCATTAATGCCATATTGCTGATCAGATTGGTGCCAAAGCCCATGGCCTAGTTCCTGGCTTATACTTGAACAATGTCTTATATACCTTGCTCTTTGGAGGTAAATATATATCTCAATATATGAATATGAATATATATATATATATATATATATATATTTGTCTTTTCAGCATCCTCATCATCCGTGGAAAATAAGCAAGTGGGGACGGCAAATATTTGTGCCTGAATGGGAAGCTTTGCAAAGCAATGTGACCAGATTACAAGCAATATTTTCAAGCCATGTTTTTTTTATAGAGAAGAGTTTGTGGCCCCATCGCAGAGATTGAAAGTAACACTCAACGTTCTCTGCCAGGCAAAATGATGTCATTTTTGCCGCATGCTTTTCTTAAATCATTGGCCATTTACAGTGCTGTCAGATAATAGCAGCAGCAAGAGGCAAATGTAAGGATTCTGGATGTTATTGGTTTTGATGGAGAGGGCACAATAAACCTTTTTTTGTCCAGTAGGAGGAAAATCTTGTTGTCAGTAGAATAGTATTATTCTGCCTCTTCCAATATGTTTTCACTTGAAGGGCAAGGAAGAAACATTGGTGTTAAAGCACAGCATATTTCTCCTTCTTCTGAAGCAGATTTTGTATCACAAACACATGCTAAAAATATCTTTCATGTTCCTGTTTCTCAGAGACTGTACAGGCCGTCGGCTTCTTATCTAATCTTGGCTGTTGTATTAAACTGGTACATGCTATTCTAGCTGTTCCTTCGTATAACTTTAGACATGGTTTCTATTTTCTTTGCACCTCACCAAAGTAGCAAGGAGCTGTTTGGAAAATGTTAACATCTGCTAAGGAAAGGGATTAATCAAAGCCCTGTAATTTATAGACTCAGTTCTTGGACCTTGATTCAGGTGCTCTTTCTGCTGCTGAGACCGCACAAACTGGCCAGAACGCTGTCCTAATGGTAATCAAGGATTCCCCCTGGCCCTGGGATGGTCTAATGCTGCCATGGCTGGTTCTATGCCACCTTTCCCATACCCCTTTCTCCTGACAGAGGGAAGAGCATGAAGCTTTCAGCCAGCTGGCTGCCGCTGGTATAACTTACAGCAGCCTTGAGGCTGCTTGGGACCATTTCAGCCCAGGATCACCTTACACTCACCTTTACCCATATTTCTCTTCAGGTAGGTCAATGGCTCTAAACTTTTGGAAATTCAAGGTACCCCTCATAAGCCTCAAGGCACCTCTTGGAAAATGCCAATTCTTAGTTTTCACTTGTTTCTTTTTAACTATGGAAAAATGCTAGGGTTATTCTTCTGTTGCAGGGAGCTCACGTCCAAATGTTTTTGCTGCTGTAGATTCCTATGTAAAATCCCTGAGTTTATCATGTGAATTGTGTAGGGGTTTGCACATCTAATAGTGCTAATACTGTGTGGATCTTGCTACACCTTCAGATGAGGATCACTGTGAGAGATTGAACACAAACTCAGAGCAGCAGAGGACTGAGCCCCAACTCTTTGCCTGTAAAGTTATTTGTCTTTATCCAGAGAGCTGTGAGTCTTACAGGGCATGTGTGTATCTCCACTCTCCCTTCCTCTTTGGCGGGCAGTGCTCTTTGAGAATCAGCAGAAGTTACATATCCTGCCATCGAGGATAAGACTTCCAGGGAGTCACTCCATGTCATTCTCTACATCAACTAATGATAGGATTTAATCTTAGATACAAACACTGTAGGAATTACAGAACTTTCTAATGGAACATGAAGCTGGAAACAAATCCCTGGGTCTGAATGGTACCAAATTTGAGAAGAGTTCAGATCCAGCTCCTAACTTTGTATTGGGTCGGCCTTTTTGTAAGGGCAGTGCTTTCAAAGGGTGTCTGCAATTGTCAAGCATCTGACTGTGATCTGAGAAAGCATCTGCATATGTTATTTAGAAGTATATGTCCAAGAGGCAGTTATTTACTGTTTCTGATGCTGCAGAAGGCTATTCTAAAAATCAGAGGGCATGAGCTTGATTTTCTTGTCATTCCCACTGGCATAAATAAAGTATTGTGCTGAAGTAAGTAGAGCTACAGTTGTATAAAACCGGTGACAGGTAGAAGAGAATCAGGCCCTCTGGGTTCTCTGGGAGTTAAACATGAAATCACCTTTCAGTGCTCTTCATGGTTTAGTCATCAGCTTCTTGGGCCTTCGGAGGTGGTGCTGGCAGTAAGCAATTGTTCCATCATGTATAGTAAATCAGTTGCTTGTTGATGTATTACTGGAAGCCACTGCACAGTTACTGCTGCTGTTGGGGATTTTTGCTTTGGTTTTTTCCTTCTTTTTGAAAGAACTGTATGAAATTAAGATTTGAAGTAGAGAAGCCAAAGTCCATGGGAATGTTTTACTGTTTGCTCAAGATTACCTGCATTTTTGTGGTTTTGCAAGTACCGCTGATACTATAGGTGTCACGCAGTTATGGTCTGCTAGAAACATACGTTCAGATCGAATACCATTCCTGAAACTGATAGTGGGCATTTGGAATTAAAATTATGTGTTCTTTTGAATGTCTTCGTTGTCATGACAGGTTACTTACAGTATTACTTTTGCAAATTGGAATACAATGTAGAAACATAAAGGGATTTACTAATGCAGAACTGGATGTGTGATGTGATGTAGTGCTGTGATAATAGACAAGGTGACATTTCATGAATAAAACAAAGTCTTAAAG